CCTGAGATTTGAGTGCCAACTTGATCTCAATTCAGAACATGGGTTTCAATCGATTCCTTCATGAACGGTTCTTCAAGGTTTTACCTTCCAACATACAAAAATGCAAATTTGAAATCGTAAATCCTCCTTAAGGAGGTTTGCAAACCAAAAACAAATGGTTTAAGAACCCAAAAATCTTCCTTTAGTTGGTTCTGATTGGGGGCGTCGTGAATCCGTGGCAGAAGCAAATGGAAATGGGGTCATATGGAAAGCAAGCAGAGAGCTGTATGAACAAGTTTCCTCTTTGACAAAAGCAATTAAAATAAACTTAATCTTATCAAAATGTGCGGATAATGGTAATGTCAGGGTCAACAGGCCAACCAATAATGACAAGCTGGCACAACAAGGATTACCATTATTACAACATTGAAACGTTTGAACGATTCATGGAACAGTGTTTCACATACCTTTCTTGAAAAGTTTACATGGGAGGACATCTATACGTCATGGATTAGTCATTTCCATAAAAAAGTACTTGAGTAAGATTTTCATTTCTGCAAGTAACTCAGCCGCCTCTCATGGATTCAAAACTCTAACACTGTGTCGATCTGTTGCTTAAGCTGACCACTTTTATGATCGGCTTTTGCAAACTCACTGACCTTTGACCTCGATTGGAATGTTTTTGCACTGAAAATTTTACTGTGACATGTGTAAAATGATGATCCGTATGTATAAGAAAACTTATGGCCCTCCATTTCCAAAACTTAATCAAAATGAAAGCTAATGATGCCATTTGTCTTTGCTGAAAAGGAGTTTTGGATTCTTTGCTGCCCAATTGCTTCATTTCATTGGGACCCTTTCAAGTTTTTGATATATCTCAAAGATACTAGGAATTTATTCAGGACATCCCATGTGTAAAGTTTAGGGAAAATGTTGGGGGTTAAGGGGATATCACTTTCACTCACACTCCACTCAGGATGGACTGCTGCGGCCTGCGGGACCATAAATTGTTTTCCATCGGGCTGAATTATTAGAATTTTGGCCTACGTCAACTTCATCCACCGCCTAGTCCACACACGTCTCCTCCTTCATCAACTATTTTCGGATTCCACAGATGAGCCTTTACCAGGTAGGATGGTTTCTAGCAGTTGGGTGCTGGGCCCTGCCAAAGGTTTTGGAAGTTTGTCATTGATTGACAATTATTGCAGTCCACGGGTCGAGGGAACACCATGCTCTCCTCTGCTCTGCAAGGTGAGAATTGGTCTGTATTCACAACAGGAAAGGTCATTCTTTGCACATTAATTTACGAGAAAAGAATAATCTTAACAAGAACATATCCACAATCCACATGACCCTCTCCAGGATTTTTGTTATCTTATTAAAAGGCTGCCCTGTTGCAGAACCAGATTGCAGTTTTGAACATTGTCCTGAACTAGTGTGTCTAACCTCAACCGCAAACAATGGCGACCTATTCAACAAGCAAAGGAAAGCTACTGATGAATCAGATCTTCTCTCCATATCAAGATAAACATAAGAGGATTTTAACCTCTATCTGACCACAGGCATCAAAACCTAAAAACGGTATCACCAGTTCACAGCCTAAGAAGTAATCTCCCAAAGAGATGGCTACAAACAGTGTTTACATGTCAGCTTAATCTTTATCATGTAAAATCGAAAACTGCCACCTATAAGAGTAAAGAAACATCACTTTCAAGTCCAGGAAACATTATCATTACTAGAATGGCTAAAAGAAAAAGAAAAAACTGTTAACATCTTGTCTGGCTGGGGCACTCCATTTGTTTATCTCCTTTGCTTATTAACAGCTCACAGCATCTTCACATGTTCTACCAATCCCAAATGTTTATCTGTGCAATTGCTTGACATTTGAAAAAAATTTTAAGATTATCCCAATAATCAATCATGCCAGGATTAATTTACAACCTCTTGAAGTAACTTGTGGAATAAAGATACCCACGTGGCTCGGTTGATGACCTATTGGGCCTATCCTTCCAAAACTTTTCCTTCGTAGAAAATGAATTAATGTCTGAATTAGTCCTGTTTTGGTAATAGCTTAATTACATGATTTACATTGATTAACTATGGTCCAAATATAACAAGGATGAAAAAAGCAAAGTTGTCCACAACTCCCCTCGATCCAAAGTGTCAGCTATAAAAACAAACCTTGTCAGAGCCTCCATCTTCCACCTCTCCGGGTTCATATCCCATTCTTGCCCACTGTTCTTACATCTCCTCTGTTCGGCAAAAAAAATGAAGGGCGATCACGATTCTGATGATGATCCGAAAAGCCCACTTCTCCCTGTCAATGATCCAGTCGAGCCGTCGTCAAGCTCACCCTTTTCTCTCAGATCCTTAGTCACACTTAAAAGTTTGTACGTCCTTTTAGGACCCCTTTTGTGTACCGTCATCTGCCTCTGTGTCAAGTTTGATGGTCCCGTGGCCAGCCGAAACATGTTAGCGCTTCTGGCGTGGGTGTTTGCTTGGTGGCTCACGGAGGCTGTGCCCATGCCGATCACCTCCATGGCACCTCTCTTTCTGTTTCCTCTCTTCGGAATCGCTTCTGCTGATAGTGTTGCTCACTCTTACATGGATGATGTGATAACCCTTGTTCTGGGTAGCTTCATACTTGTTCTTGCTGTTGAGCGCTACAACATTCATAGAAGATTGGCCTTGAATGTAAGTTATCCTTATGAATTTATTCGTTTCAAGTATTACCTTTCTCTTCAGATTGATTCATTGTTGTTAAAAAATTGGCGTAGCAGTAATCCTTAGAATTCTTCAAGTCTTATCTATTGGCCTTGAAAGTTTATAGCAGCGTCTTTGCTTTCGGGCTTCAAAAATGAATGAAGTTATGCACTTTCTGCTGCCCCAACGCCCAACAGTACCACCCCAACATTTTTCTTTCCGAAGTTAATACTCAAAACTATAAGATCATGCTTTTTGTTCAGATATCAAAGCTCCAAGTTTGGCATAACGCCACAGGAACTTGTACGCATGAACTTTATATAAATTTGAAGGAAACTTCATTGGTTGGATTCAAAGTAGAAAAGGTTAAGAGTTTTTGAATTACTTGAGCAATCAAACGAAGTAAAACAGGAAACAATACAAAAGCCATATTCTTGTTGTACTGGTATGCGATCTGTTGGAGCAAGCACATTTTTTTATCTAAAAAAATGTGTAATATGGTGTTGTTGGGGCCATCAATATTTGACTTTCACCACCACTTAGAGACAAGCAAAACTCTCTCCCTCTTTTGGCTTGGACAAGCAATATTTTATCCTTGGTGAAGATGATCCTAGAACTGCAGAACATGTTTGCTGAACGATTTGAGTGGACATTTCTCATTTGTCATTATCTCAATTGTGGGTCACGCAGATCACTCTGCGGTTCTGTGGGGATCCGGTGAATCCACCTCTCCTCCTGCTCGGCATCTGTGCCACCACGTTCTTCGTCAGCATGTGGATGCACAACGTGGCGTGTGCCGTGATGATGATGCCTGTGGCCACGGGGATCCTACAGCGCCTGCCAGTGGGCCCCACCCGGTCCACCCTTGTTGGCAACTTCTGTCGGGCTGTGGTTATCGGGGTCACGTTCGCCGCTCCTATAGGGGGCATGAGCACCCTCACCGGTACAGGTGTCAACCTGATACTGGTGGCCATGTGGAAGAGCGCCTCCCAGGAAGCCAACTCCATCGGTTTCAACACGTGGTTCTTCTTCGGTTTTCCGTTGGCTTTGTTGATTTTCTTCGCTTTGTGGGCCATACTTTGTCTGTTGTATTTGTCTAGGGGCTCTAGCCAGGCCCTCTCTGCTTACTTGGACAAAGCCCACCTGAAGAGAGAACTCGACACGTTAGGTAAGGAACCCTGGTGACTTTATACTCTCCCTTTCATTACTTCAGGCT